ATTATATTATTATATATATATTATTATATATTATTATATATATATATATTATATATATACGAAACAAGGGGCCTGCGTCAGCGACGCCTCCTTGAAGAACAGCTGATACTTTATAAAATTTAGAAATTAAGGACATCAGCCAGATTTAAGTAAACGGGTTTGTGATGAGCTCAGTTGAAAAAGCAATTACTACCTCCGATAGTTTAGAGTGCCGCATTCTAGTTTCCTATTTTATTCGAGATTTTGAGCTCACTGAAGCATATAATTCAGAAGTTCATTTCTGCTCAAAACGATTTATTTCCTGGACCATATTCGACTTTCAGCATATTCACAAGCAACCAAGAGGCTCTTTTGAAGCTCTTTATTTAATGAAAGCCATGTGCTTCAACTGTTCCCCTGACTCACGATTGTTGGCCGTTTACAAGCGCTTATTTGGTCTGCACAATCTTAGAAAACATTCTCAAAGAAGCAGTAAAACACTTTGATTAAACCCAATTCTGTCTTACTTCTTAATATACTGCTCATAAAGTTGCTGAAATCCGTCGATAGCCCACGACCGGTTTCGCCCTTTTTGGGGCTCATCAGGTGGGCGCAGTCCCCGGGTTTCCGTCAACCTTATGTTCTACTTGAAACCGAATTGCACGAAATTAGCGAATGTACATCCATTTGCTGCATCATCCGATTTGCAGACCTTGATTGCATCTATGATACGGATCCATGCGACCTATCACCTTGCAAAAATGGTGGTTTCTGTCACACAATTAGTATTCCAATGCATCATTATCGTTGTGCATGCAGCGAGCCATGGTCTGGAATCCACTGTACCGAACGTTCGGCCTGTCAAATGGCAACGAATATCAGTAACATTGGAGCACTTTCCCAGTCTCCTTGCTTGAATGGCGGTCGCTGCATCGATCAGTTGAATGGATCGTCCTACTTGTGTCAGTGCCACAAAGGCTGGATAGGAACGAGATGTGAGCTTTCGATTGCGTCAATCGGAAAGGCAAGTAAGCGAAGTTAGTTTCCGGGCCTATATCTGCGTTTTATTTCTTCATCCAAAATGTTTAGTCCAAAGAGCCGTTTTTACGGACAGGTCAAATACTCCGTTAGTATAAAACCCCATAGAGACAAGTAGAAGCGAACGGCGTTCATTATCAGTCGAACTGTTTTGATATTTTTCATTAGGATTGATGGTTGCTGATTGGTTCGCTGAGCTGGGCAATTTTTTCTTTTGAATTTCCCGACTTTTCGTAAATAACGTAATCCTTACTGGGGAATGTTTGGGAGCTAAATAACTAGTTCTCTGGGGCGGTTTTGATGTGGTTGACATTTTGCTGATGGTAAAGTTTAATGGACCAGGACGAATTGGTCCTCCTTAGAAGAGGGTCCTTATTCGGGGAATAAAGAATATCTTGCCATATAAGAGTCTCCGTGCCGGACTCAACAAGCACACTGTCGGGCGGCTTTCACATTGAATCACATGGGTGACGGTGTGTATACGAAACAAATTTTCAAGTCACCCGTTGCATTCAAAAAGTTCTGGAACACCGAATTATCGACCTGATAGTGTCTGTGCAAAATGACGTTTGGATCCGGAGGCCGAACGCATTGACAGACGTGGCAGACAGCTGAATGTATGGTCTTTGAAACGAAGAATTTACGCATATCTTCCACAAAACGCTGACAAGCTACACGAGCTCCGGAGAAACTCAGTAATTGCATTGTAAGAAGCAACGTTAAGCCACAATTTACTGCTTGAATGAAAAAATGCATCGCTGAAATGCAAGAAACTATGGAGAATGTCTTTGCGCAGAATTCTTAACTATTTACATTCAATCCACCTGTCATCTGAAACGACGGCCAGTAGATATATGTCCTGTGGACAGGGCTCACCAACAGTAAAATACAGAACAAGCTTGCACAATTCCACGAGCTCCAACTCGACTAGCGCGTCCAAATGTGAACTTGATCATTCACAGGAACTGGTTACTACATCCATGCCGACGCCAATCGGCAAGACTTGATTCTGCTAAACCGATAGAAACTGTTTCATCCGAATAACAATATACTTATAATTTCTTGGTATTTGATTATCCCTAAAAGGCTGTAAGGTATGGCGCAACTGTTTTCTTCTGATCGACCTCCTGCAATCGTAATCAGATTTCAGAATATTGGAAATTTCGCATTAAAAGTTGACTCATAAAACTGAGTCGTGAATGGTATCTTCTTACTCCTGCTTCAGAATATTGCATTAGCTGCTGGTATACCGTTGCTATTCCTTGTGATCCTGCTTATCGGTGGATTTTGGTACGTTAGACGAAGGTAGGTGAATGCATTCTTGTCCAGTACATGAAATATTAGAAATGCCTTAATTTTCATCTCTATGTGATCCAACGGAAAGAACGAAGCATTTCTAGAGCCAAAATGAACTGACTGGTTCACAGGCTATTACAACCTCAGACTTTCAGTATTTGGCAAAATGTCTTCGCTCCGGTGCACTTTGTTTCCACGAGAATTAATGAAATGCTAGTCCATATAGGAGCATATTTTTGTGAATTAGGCTGAGGATTCTTAAGTCGCTGCCTACCCGAACTCTAGTTGATACTGCTATTTTCACTTTATGATACCAGCCTTCATTGTTTTGCTTCTCACACCACTGAATCTCAGGGATCTCTGTTTGAAAAATCAACCTGGGCGTCCAAAATCCAAAATGATTGTCAGTTCTTTCATCATTATCATCGACTGTACGAAACGCGCACTTATCCTACAGTGGTTATAGCTGTCACAAATTCGTTTTCTGACGAGTTGGGGAAATGGATTAGGTAGCTGAGTATTGGAGGCGGTAGCTGGTATAACTGAGGTGCAAATGTAGGGTTGTCATCGGAATTTTAATTGGGGAGATTGGGAGGGGAGCTGTGCATTGAAGAAAACAGCTTAGATGCACGAGTGCTATTGAGATCGAGACTGGACCATACCAGACAATGTCTCTAACCGTTGATGTGGCCCGTCTCGGAGTTCCCACCCAGGAGGATGACAGTGCTCAGTGCAACTGTGTTCATCGGTAACGTTTTTCAAAAACAGCTTAGATGCACGAGTGCTATTGAGATCGAGACTGGACCATACCAGACAATGTCTCTAACCGTTGATGTGGCCCGTCTCGGAGTTCCCACCCAGGAGGATGACAGTGCTCAGTGCAACTGTGTTCATCGGTAACGTTTTTCATACTTCGCTGCCAAGTCATTGTTTGACCTCCCCTGGCTCGTTTCCACACTTCGCGTGGCTGTGCGAAAAAAGCTCTACGAGGAATTCGGTTGAATGGCATACGAGGCAGTGACCAAGCCAGCGCAACCTATGGAGTGTGATGAAATAATCTGTTGTGAGCGAAAACCAACCGATCATTGACGGACAAACTGATGTCACGCCTACGTCATAGATGATGTAGACTCACAAAAGTCGCTCTGGCCTTCAAAATCTGGATGGAAAGATCATCTTTGACCAGACCACCGAAAATGATGCAGCTGCCCTATTAGACAAATTTGCCCACTACACCAATAAGCTCAATTATAAGCATGAGATTGGGGTTCGATCTTACCGAGTCCTGCAGCAGCGCTCAATACTTTGCAGGCGTGAAGTGCATGCCAAACCTTGAGGCGGAACTGTTTGGACTATTTAGTATTTCTTGCACTACCACAGCATCCGATCCAAAAAAGCTATGTCGTCTGCTTACTCGATATCCGAAAGCGAATGCTCCTAGAGCACTTCGACACCACAATCGTATCAATGACGAAGTTGAAGAGGAAAAGTGAACGAACACAGCCTAGTCTGACCTCATTTGATGTCCCCAACCCAGACGAAAGTTTCACGTAGAACTTCACCATTCCGCGGAAGTTTGCTTACGAGCCAAGGAAGACAAATTTTGCTGGGCACTGGAAGCAGTGTCACTGTTCCAGAATTTGTCGGACGGAACAGGACAGAAACCAACTTGGTTTTCACGATTTTCTCCAGATGTTCACCAGAGGTCTCAATCTTTACTTAGGCTCTTCGATAGTTGACATTTGATGGAGTTGCGTGCTCCGCTGTACACGTCGCCTGCTGATATGGATTTTTTGGAATCAATCAGAACAATCGATCTCGACTTATTCAGTAGTCTTGTGTTCGAATTGTAGAAGTCGAACAGAGAGCTCTTTTCACATTTCGCCATTATTCATCCTCTTTCTCACTACCAGTACAGTACTGTTTTCTGGTGGAGAGTTGTTGAGCTAGCTCAGGTCGATAATGCTGTGCTATGGTAATTCTTCGAAGGTGGTGGATTTGCATGTCTTTCGCTGACATGTGGAGGCCTAAAGGGGAAGAAACAGTCAGGCTCATACGCACCGTAGCGTGATCAACAATAATACACAATAATCTTTCAGCTCGAACATCTTTTCGGTGCCTAGCTTCCATGATGCCTGAATGAAGCAGGAGGGCTGGGATACTACCAGGTCGTCCAAGCCTAGACAGGGAACTTAAGTGGCAGAGGTCAGGTTCGAACCAGTTACCTTCCGGTCAGTAAATTTGCCTGAGCATCTTGCCATCTGGCGTGATGGGAATTAATTTGTGTCCTACGAGGAACAGCAGTCTTGAATTATGGCTCTTCACCGGTGGCTGCGCCTGAATGAAGAGGGCTGGGATACTACCAGGTCGTCCAAGCCTAGACAGGGAACTTAAGTGGCAGAGGTCAGGTTCGAACCAGTTACCTTCCGGTCAGTAAATTTGCCTGAGCATCTTGCCATCTGGCGTGATGGGAATTAATTTGTGTCCTACGAGGAACAGCAGTCTTGAATTATGGCTCTTCACCGGTGGCTGCTGACCACGTGATTCAACTGGGTCCGTAGTTGATTTGCAGTGGGTGGCCGCTAGGTTACCCGATACCAACGTTTCTGCTACATTTTCGTATTGGCCAGAAACAGCTCATGATCAGCACATAACCGGAGGCGTCGCTTTCCGTTGTGGAGACGAGCTTAGACTCCGAATCGATCGTCCAGATGTGATTCTTACGAGCCTGGGCATCTTATTTGCGAATTTATATCTCCCACAAGGATCACAATGTCAGCGCTTCTTCCCTTGCGAATGAGTCCGGGTAACTCGTGATAGAAAATGTCCTTATCAACGTCAGAACTCCAGTTCGCTGGGGTGCGTGCGGATACTACAAAGAGAAGCCGTTTTTATGGCGAGTGGCATTGAACTTGATTCAGCTGGATGACAGGACGGCGCAAAGATGACTGTTCGCTGGCATCCAATCCAAAAAAGCCATTCAGCTTTGGGGCTGAATGCAGCTCCAGCGCTATATGACCCATGAGTCATCGCTTCTGGACCACCGGGCACGCGAATGTAGAAATGTGAAATAGCTGAGTTCGTGCTTGGCGTTTTGAGATGCACAATCACGCCGTGGTCGTGTATGACCAGTTCGGAAAGGTTTCAGCAAGTATCGTCTTTTTTCCTATTTGACATAGATTACGGACGTTTAAAGCTGCAATGCAGAAAAGTGCACTGGGATTTTGCAATGTGTCATTTTGCTGTTGTTAATAGGCCATGGGGTGCAGTTAACTGACAGTCAGATGACCTAGGAACATTTGGTTTTGTGATGTGGAGAGGTTGGGGAGGAGTATCGGTGGATAAACAGCTGTGCCGACAAATGATACTTCCCTGCTTCCCAGGCCGAGAAAGGGGATTTGTTGAGCTAAATCACCTTGATCTTTTGACACAGTGTCTGACCTACAGTCTGTGGGAGGATATATGGTTTTGTTTGGAGGCCCTGACATTATCCATCTGACTCAAAAGGCTGAACCACGAGTCAGCTTGCAGTATGGTCATCTTTGGGGACCCTTTCCAGTGTCAAGACTCATAAGTCTATTCTGCTCGCTGCAGGGTCATTGTCTGTCCCAAGGGTGTAAGGAGTAAGGCAGTACTGTCTCACTTCCAATGCGGCTGCGCGCAGCAAGTGTCTTTTGAGCAGCCCTTGGCTCTTGTTTTAAAGTATTTCGACCGTATTGAATAATGCACTGGCGTTGACGGTCAACCATTTGGTGATCGGAGTTTGCGGTTTTTTGGGCCGTTATTTTCTAACCCACTCCTCCTCTTTGGAAGGTAGCATGGCTGGTTCCATGAATGCTGGCATGTTGGTCGTCTGGGGGAAACACCTTACTGCCTTCATACTCCCACTGCTGAGGACATTACTACCATACCCCCGCATCGCCTTTTATCACGATTGTTGCTAGTAATGGGCCTTGGTGTTCTTGGTTTGACTGCTTACTTTTGGCCTTTCTGGTGTGGTTGTACCTTAGCCAACCAAATTCCAGTCACTTTAGCCCACGTTATCATTGTAGCACTCAAACCCGACCGCCACATCAGATTGGTGGTACTGTACCAAAGGACAACCGCACACAGCCGTCCCGAATTATCGATAGGCAGATATGCACCATCTTGTTCGGATCTGAATACATCTAACTTTTGAGTTCTTATGTGTCAGGACCGTCACTGGTAATTGTCGGCGTTGGTGTGATGTCTGAGGTACCCCATGCAGGTAATGAATGCGGTACTATTTACGATGCTGCAGGTTATCTTTTCACGGATATACTACACATGACTGGCTTTAGCCTACTAAAAGTGCTTCCGATTTCTGTAAACAAGAACAAGATTGTTGTGTTAGTTAAAGTAAGTAAATCAAGGTGGTTTCGTTGCTGCGTCCCCAGATGACCCCACAGGACACTTGGAACTGTACTGGAAAACGGATTCCAATGTCGTTCGTTTTGTCAGTTCCTACCTGACCAGGTTGTGAAGGTATGCGTACCGAGGATGTTGGTTATATGCTAGCTCCTAGACCACTAATATACATATATAGTCGGCTGGGACGGTCCGCAAGTAACAGCATGCCCGAGAAATTTTTAATTATTCTTGTGAGACCCAGGGGTCTGAAAATAATTCCACGTTTGCTCCTTCAAAGCCATTTTTGGACGGTACTGTAAAAAATTTTTATACGGAACGAACATAAGAATGTTTAGCGAATATACACTCATTTGCAAACTAATTTGGTTTTTTCGAGAGACTCTCGTTTGTGAAGGTTCACTTATTCCTGGATAACGTTACTGTGTTGGCCGTATGTGAGTTATTTGGTGTTACAGTCACTCAGGCATCCGATCTATCTAGACTCATTGCTTGGATTTGGTGCACAATTTTCCCCTATGGAGCTTATGAGAGTGCGACAAAAAAGCTCGTTGCACAGGACTCTTTCCTCCCAAAAAAGCTGAACTTTATCGAAGTCGAACAGCAGGTTATTAATATTGAGCCAATTAGGAAATAGATGTTGCGCTGCAACCCTAAGGTCAGTTTTGCTGAATAAAGTACATCACCACTGTGCGCAGCTCGTTTCTCTAAATGTAGAATCATTTCACAGTAGAGGCACGGTAGGTGACCATTCGGACCTATTTTTTTCCTCGAACTATGTTCTGTGTACTCTTCTCTGGGTGTGTGCCGATAATTTTCGGTTCAAATTCGACGGAAACCTGAACATCCAGTCAGGATAGTAGCAAACCTTTCAGTGGGCCATATTACGCTGTCATTTCCATGGGTAGGCTTCAGAACAAATAAATCATCATGCATCATACACTGTGAAGCTGACAGACACCTTTGTCGCCTATGAAACGAAAAACGGTGAGAAATCCTTTTGCAAAATACTAAGCGTACTAAATCCTGGTATTATTTTTGCCACTGAGTTAGAGGGAAACAGCAAGGAAGAATTTACTGATATACTGCTACGTAAAAAACCCTACTGTTTCAACGTTATATTCAGACTTTGTAAGTTTTGTCTCATTTGGTTCTTCATTAGGCCATACCTCTTACTGTTGAATACTAAAAGCCAATAGGATATCTGATGTGTATTTTGATTATGGGTGGCTGATAACAGGAAACGGAACACATGGTGTTTCCGAATAATTGGTCTGGTCATTTTCGTAGAACCAGATCAGAGAACCAATATATAAGATTGGGTATATTAACACAGTAAAAGCTGTCGATCTTATAAAACGATTTAGACACTTCTCAATCGAGACTTCATCCTGCAAATAGTCTATGCTGTAAAGCCGAGAAACGTTGCAGACTTTTTCAGCCTTATTTAAGAGCGTCAGCACTGCACACCCCGCGAATCGTCAGAGACCCGAGACCTTCCGACCTGTAGCTTAAGATTGAAGTGTTAAGCTACAAGCGGCCGGTTGGCAGGGCGCTCAACACACACACTTAGAGCGGATGCAGCGTTCCTGGCCCCTTAGTCATGGGAATAACATTTCGTGGTTACCACTTGCCTAGCTCCTTGCACCATGACTTCACAGATAGGAGGTTCACTTCTCATGTGAACCACTCATCCTTCCAGCTACGTAATGAAACCTGATTGAAGCATGCATATAGTCGCGCTCCGCATTAAACTCGTATGCGATTTATCACATTCTGCGGTACATCCACCAGTCTCTATTAACTCGTAATGGTAGTTGAACTGTGCACTCCTCGATGCTATGCTGCAACTGTTAAAGTGTGGTGTCTGACGGAATTTTATGGTTGTCCACCATATATCATGCACCCTCAAACGTCAGAAGCATTTGGTCAGTAACTGGAAAAAAGGACAAACTACTGATAAGACACTCGGAATGCCCACAAAACGTGAGAAAAAGGTCGCCAAATGTGACGAGGATGTGGGTGAAAAATTAGTTTGCCGTAATGACGATTCCCCACTTGATTTAGGCTCCTCTCCTATTGGTTCAGCAATTAGGCACCCTGATTTTCGGTAGATTTTGCGGCATTCTTTTGCTAATGTACTGAAAATCTGACCTCTAAATTGCGACTTTAAAAGGGGCATCGGCAATGAGCGCCTATTTGGCGGCAGGTTCATGGGTCATTTTACCAGCTTCCGGTACATTCTATGGGGAATATGCATACGTCATGTAAACCAAATGGTTGCCGTCACCTACAGAAATACACCTGGTGTGTTTTTTCGGCGGCCCAAATTCATCTTTTGCTTGGTCAAATGGTGGTTTTCATTATTTTCAGAAAAGCAATCAAAAGTAATCAGGATGGTAAAAGACCTGATTCTTTTACGGAAGCCCCACACCCCCATCCTGATCGTGTTCGGAAGTACTACAAGGCTCCTGTTCCAACACTAACAGTGAAGAACGAGAACAACACGAACCAATGTGAAAATGCAATGAGTTCGTCAGACACCCACACCGGAGGGGCTGATTCTGGAGGTGACGTTCTCAGCTTGCACACCGTAAGAAATTACACTACCAGTGAGACTTCTCATTCCGGAAAAGAGTCTGTTTTGCCTTTGCTACCAAAACGTCCAACACACTGCACTAGAACTCAAGAGGAAAAAAGTATGAGACCCGGCTATGAACAGCGACCAACTGTTCGCTTCGCCCCAGTTGACATTGGATACAGACGTTCGGAGGCTCCAGATAATCCTGTCAGTGCGATCTACGTGTAACGCCTAGTTCTTTGAAAACATGTGCAACTTTTAAATTTTGTTTACGTATGCTGTATATATGACTGTACAACAAGCTCTTCCCTGCCGAGATCATTATGATTGTTATTTAATAAAGCTATCAATAAATCTGTGACTGTCACTTTTGACATGATTTCCACTGCGAATCGATGAGTGGTAAGCTGAAGGCATCTGTCGAGTTAATACATCATGGTGCCACACGTTTGACAGGAATGAGAAACCGTAACTACCATTTGGTGTTTAATGTTTTTACATGCTCCAAAGTAGAATTCATTTGTGGCACTGACAGAGTTGAGTATTCATTTTGTGCCATGTGTTGCCCTGGATCTCAGCCTTGTTGCTCAGAAATCTTTCCACATATGACAATGTCGTTTTGAATCTTTTAAAGTCTGCACCAGAGTTTCAGAAAAATCCTAATAGACTTTAGTAAGACGGCAGATCGGCTAACTGAAATAGTTTTAGCTGTTTTCAGAGATTTCTATGATGACAATGATCCCATCTTATGATTGTAAAAGACAAAAATCGTGTGTATTAGCGACCAGGTTACTGGTCACTGGCCGACCATGCCTGCAAACAGTCGATCGCACGGCTAAATTACTGACCACCTAATCACGCGTAACCGATCGTCACAATGGACACTTAAGTTGCATCGGGTTAAGGGAGATTGAATACATACAATTGTTCATTGTTGCCGCTTTACACTCGGCGGGTGATCCATACTCTCCAATGAACGATTCAGCGAAGATGTGTAGCGACCCCGTCAACCACACACTTGACTGTTCAACTCACAGTCGCTCACTGGATCGCGAGGCTTGTGTTTTTTCTCATACGCACAAACACGTCGCATTAAGCTGACTCATCGGACATCGATCGTCTGCACCGCCTAGTCAGCGTAGCAACCACTCATGTGCCGACGCGCCCACGTATACGCACTGGGACCTACATAAAGGGAGAAACGCCGGCGGCTAGACGCACAATGTATTTTTCTGCAAAACGCCTGCGGACGAAATAAAAACTTTAACGTCAAAATGTTGCACTTCTTTGCATATATGCGTAGACTGAAAACCC